CCGGGGCGCGGGTCCGGTCCAGCCGGCACTCCGGTGCCCGCGCGGTGCCCTACATCCCAGGAGTCCGGCTCGGCCGGCGGGGCGCTGCAGGTAGGAGGCGCGGCGCCGAGGGAGGCGTGGGCGAGCAGGCGTGTGCGAGCAGGCGTGTGCGAGCGCGCGTGTGCTCGTGCGTGCGTGTTTCGGAGGTGTGTGTGTGGATGCAGCCGGCCGGTGCGATCCCCGAGAGCACGGATCGGTGCCGCGGGCCCAGGGCAAGGGATATGAGTGCTGGCTTGGAGGGTGGAGGCCTCGAGAATCCGTCCCGGGCCGGGGTCTCTTCCCCTACCCCACCCCGCGGGGAGGGGTCCTGTTCCACCCCCACCCCCAGGTGTTCCGGTGGCATTTTCCTAGTGCTGACGCCGCGCACGCCTCACACAGGGCGCTTCCAGTCTCCAACCCTCTTCCTCACTGTTCCTTTCCTGTTTGCCCCACAGCCTCCTCCACCCAGTCAATCCCCCAGCCTCCTCTGCCCCCAGCCCCACCCCTGAGGCTTGAGCAAGGGGCAAAGCCCAGGCCAGCTGTCAGCCTATCTCCTCTCTGGCCTCCTCCCCAGGTTGAATAGGGGCCCTTCTTGGCTGCAGGGCTTGGGTGGGTGGGGATCTGGGAGAGAAAGATCTTTGGCTTTGATCCTTCACCCCTCAGAGCCAAGTCGGAGGATCCTAGACAGGTGCCAAGTTCCTCCTGCCTTCTCACCACGTGGGATTGGCCCTGGGATCCCCAGAAACCCAGAGCTGAGCAGGGGCTCAGAGTGAAGTCAGCTCCTCTCTCAGGGCTGCTCAGTCAGCCAGAGGTGGTACCTGTCCTCCAGGCTCTCATGCCAGATCCCCTCTCTGCACCCCTGCCCATGGGACTGTCCACAGCCAGAATCCCCTCCCTGCATCAGCGTTGGTGACAGCCGTGCTGAGGGAAACTACCCCAGAAATCTTAGGCCGGGAGAGGTCTGGGTAGACTTCTTGGAAGAAGGGATTTTCAGGGTGAGGCTCCGTCTCCTGGGAGAGCCACTGTAAGGACTGAACCTCCCAGGGTCCTTGGACTGGTCCTTGCTCCTGTCCCCAGTCTTGGGGTGGGGGTGGGGAGGCCTGGCCACCTCCTCTGCTGAGGGTGGTCAGGGTAGGGTGGGCCCAGCCCCAACTGCTCCGGGCCAGGCCAGAGCTGGGGGCAGCACCAAGAGGGGCTCTCTTCGGGCCCGAGGGGCAGATGGGCCAGCAGACGAGGCCTGCCCAGGTCGGGCCCGTGCCGGGAGCACAGCAGAGGCCCATCTTTGCCTGGGAGCTGGGCCACCTGCAGGTTCCTGGAGCTGGGTCTGTGAGGAGTTCACCAGGCAGAGAAGAGGCAGGCTGGGAAGTGGCCCGGTGAGGCGTTGGAAGTGTGAAGTCAGTGCCAATCTGGGGTCAGGGACAAAATGGGCCCACATGTCTACGCAGTCGTCTTTGGCTGCTGTGGGGTGAGCGCTGTCCATGAGGCAGAGGCTCCATGGGAGAGGCCACGCCCTTCACCCCCCCACCTCCCCACCCCCACTGTTCTCTCCCTAGCTCTCCACCCAGGGCTAGGCTTGGCAGGGGTTAGGGGGGCCTGATAGGGGTTTCCAGAGCAGGGGTGGGATGGGTAGGGGTGCTTCTGAGATGGGGACCACCACTGGGGGTAAAGTAGGCCGGAGGAGTTGCCACGGGGTGGGATGCAGTGGTTGTGAGGCCCACGGGGCTGTTGGGGGGAGGGGCAACATCTGAGTGCTGCTCCCAGGCCAGGGCTCTACCCTTGCAGGCTGCAGCACGGTCCTGAAGCCCCAGTCCCCAGACAGGAGGCTCCCCGGGCCCCTAGCAGGCATGGGAGACATCAGTCCCCCGTCCCTCCTACCTGCAGGGCCACAGCATCCTTCCTCTGTCCCTCCTCCCTGCCTGCGACCCAGAGGCAGGACCCTCCCCTGCCTGGTCAGTTCTTCATGTTGGGATGGGGACAAGTCACAGGGGTTGGGGATGACCATGGTGCAGTTACAGTATGCCGCTGAAAGCACTTGACCAAGCACATGGTGTTTGGTAGTGTTATTTTTTCCTTTTAGTGAGGAGGGCAGAAGGAAAGGGGGTATTTTTGACAGGGGTGTCCCATTGTGGCCTTCAGCTGGCCTCCAGTTACCCAGGACCACAGGTGTGCACTGCCGGGCCTGCCACCGCCTCCCACATTCCCTGTGCCTCCAGGGCCCACAGAGTTATTCACAGTAATTAACCACTGGTGTCACTTAGTCCCTCCCTGGGGAGAGAGGCCAGGATGGAGGACTGAGCTGTGGAAGGGTAGGAAGCCTGTCTCCCTCTGAAGTGGAAGTCCCTCTAGGCTTCAGCAGGTGACGGGACCTGCGAGTCCTTGGTCCCCTTGCATGGTGGCCTCTCTCTCTCTGCTTGACCAAGTGCCCTGGCCTCCCCCAAGGCTCCAGTCCCCTGGAGAGGCAGGGGCTGGGCAGCCCAGAGCTCCCCGGAGGACGCCGTGATGGTCTCCGGAGAAGCTGGCAGCGGCCTGGGCTCCCGACAGCAGGGCGGGGTCTACAAGGCCCTCCCCAGCCCCGGCTGCTGGCCAGCCATCAGCAGCGGGGCTTCACGGCCGCTGCCTTGACTCTGCCACCATCTACTCCAGGGTCTTGCCTGCCTTCGGAGCCCTCCCCCCCACCTCTCAGCTCCCTGGAGGCCACTTCTGCCCCCTCATCCCTCGCGCCTCCTGGCCAGCTCTGGTCCCTGGCATGGCCTTCCAGGGCCCTGGGCAGCCCCCTCTCTGGGCTGGGGTGATTCCCTGGGGCTGCCTCAGGTCAGCGCAGGCCGGGCCAGGCCTTCCTTGGCCTCTGGCCTTGCCTCCCCTGCCAGGTAAAGACAGTGTGGCCCCAGTCCCTTCTCTAATCTGGTGTCTTAGGGAGGCAGCCTTCAAGCTGGACACAGGAGTGCAAGGTGTGCACACTTGCTTTGGGCGTGTGGGACAAGTGGGAACGCGGGAAGTGTAAGGACGCAGAGTGTGCGTTTGCTTGCAGGACCGTGGGGGGTGTGCGTCGCTTGCTCACAGTGGCCTGGGCTACCACCCCCCACCCCTCCCCGTTCTCATTGTCGAGTGTCGTGTTTCGAGTGGCCCTGGCTTTTCCAGGGCAAGGGGTATGGGGTGCCGTGGCCCTAGCAGAGCAAAGCCTTCCTTCCAGGGTGCTCAGCTCACCTCCTGTAGGCCACGGGAGACAGACCCCTGCCCTGCCACCCCCGCCAGTGCCCCTCCCAGGGCCCTTCCCCGTGCCCCCACTGCTCTGTAACTGCAGTTGGGGCGAGGTGGGACCCAGGTCTCTCGTGACCACAGCAGTAATTGAGACACAGAAGCGAGGAGAGACTTGGTTTTAATCGGAGCAGTGAAAAGTGTGAGGACTTCATCTCCCTTCAGACCCAGGACTTCCTCCGTGGGCCCCGGGGAGAGCCTGTCCTCACTCTCCTGGCTTCCCAGCTGCTGGCGTTCTGTGCCCTCCGTGCTCAGACTGCCCTGTTCTTCCCTCTTGTGCGGACGCTGCTGTTGCAGTGTGGCCCACCTGGGTAATCCGGGATAATCTCCCCATCTCGAGATCCTTAATCTTGTCAGCAGAGTCCCCTGTGCCATCCAGAGGAACGTTCATGGCTTCGGGCCTCGGTATCCTTGGGGGTCGTCATTCAGCCCCCCGTCACTGCAGGCACCTCCCAGTGCCCCTGCCCAGGCACCACAGCCCTAGGCACCCTGAGGTTGCCCTGTGTCCGTCTCTCAGTTCCCTGGGAGCCTGGCCAGCAGGACCTGGGACTGTGCACCTCTGGCCCTGGTGCCAACTCAGCCTGGGGTTGGGGGCAGAGCTAGGCGCATGTGGCAGAGAGGACCATGCTGGCATGTCCCCGTGGGTACCCAGGACTGGGCCCGTCCCTGTCGACAGCACTGGCCTCGCAGGGCGGACCGCAGCAGCTCACAGCAGACATCCGCTCAGCACACCCTGCGCAGGGGCCCTTTGAGGCCCACTGAGGCCGACACCTGCCTGGAGCAGGGGCGAGCTGGTGAGGGGGGTAGGAGGGCGGAAAGACCCTCACTTTACAGATGAGCAATCTGAGGAGAGGAGCTGCCCTGCCCTGCCTGGGCCTTGGCCTCCCCACCTCGAAAGAGCAGTGGCGGGGACATCTCTGAGGCTTGGGATTCGCCCTCTGCCTGGGCGTGGGGGAGGTGTCGGCTCTCTAAGGCTGCCCTAGGCAGGAACAGGGTAGGCTCAGAGCACTGCCCAGGCCTGGAAGCACTGCCCCACGAAGGTGGCTCCCTGCCCCACGTGGGTGCTGTTTCTTCCTGCAGCCAAGGCCAGGCCTCACCTCTGCTTCTCTCTTGGGGCATTTCTGCAGCCTCGCCCTGCCACCTGCGTCCTGCCTGCGTGCCGCCTGTGTCCTGCCTGCGTCCCGCCTGCGTCCCGCCTGCGTCCTGCCTGCGTCCTGCTTCCTGTGTCTTCGACCCAGTGAATCAGTACCCCCTGTTACACTCCAAATCCTGGGCCTGGCTTCCAGGCCCCGCCACCCCAGCTGTGGCAGTATTTTCTGCTTCCTTCTTCCCTCCCCCACCCCCACCCCCTGTCCTCTGGCCTTGCTCAAATGGTTTCTTCTACCCAGAATGTTCTTTCCTCCCCAAACCTTTCACCCCCTCCAAAATTGCAGTCTTCCTTTCAAGACCCTGCTTACATGCCATCTCCTCCGTGTCGCCCACCCTGCCCCATCTGAATGATCCCTTTTAGAGCACATCTCTCTGCCCTGTGGGAGTCTGTCTCCTCCGCCAGGCTGACCTCAAGGGCAGACCTTGGCCGGGCCCAGCACAGTGTGGTGGCAGGCCAGAGAGGGCAGGGGCTTGTCTGGGGTCACACAGCACAGTGGGCCAGGCCTTACTTCGGCAGGTCATCTTGCCAGTGGGGGTCAGTGAGCACCTGTGCCCCAATGCTCCAAGCATCATCCTGGGTAGGAGTGAGAGGGTCCTGCTGGAGGTCTGGTCTGCCTGCGTTCCCAGCACCGTCTGCTGACGTGGTACTGGGTGGGAACCTGAGGCAG